TCATGATAGTAAAATAGGGCATTCTAAGTCAATATACTGCAGTATTTCCTCTCTCAGTCAGTAGAAAATATGGTTAACACACAGTCATGCATGAAAAAAAAATACCGTCATGTACCGTGAAACCGGTATAATTTTGAAAAATACCGTGATATAAATTTTTGGTCATACCGCCCAGCACTAGTTCAGTGGTCTTACAGCAGAAGACTGTTTGAAATCGGAAATATTCAAAAGCATACCCAGCTTTTTAAGCACTCGAGTGACCGCACCAGAGCATCCCTCACATGTCATGTCAACAAAAAACTCGTGAGTCTGTCAGGAGAAAAGAAAACATCTTTGATTCAGCTCTATAAGAGAATCAATCTCCAGCTAGCTACAAAGCTAAGTGTCTGAGGAATAATGCCAAATAAAAAGTGATTTTGCATGTCCACAAATCAGGAAGCAACAAATAAACAGATCTTTCTGAGTTAAATTTTAAATTAAATGTGAAATTACCGTCATGATCGATCAGATTGTCGCTGCAAGCTCAAGTCTAAAGACTCGCTTTTGCTGCTGGACTGTTGCTGTACAGTCAGAGGCAAATGACGCGCTGTTTAGTTTAGGGATCATCACTAAATTACTACTATTTTCTTACAAAGCGTGCGTTTGAACCACTAAGTATACGAACATATATCCGCTCAAAGTGCAAAGAATACTGTGAGAGACTTTGCTATACTGGTTGTCATGTTAGTTTTACGAGTCAATGAGTTATTTCTGGAGAAATGGACAAGCGTTTTAAACAGTACACACATAATACTACATTTTTAGACGTTCCCTTATTTTGAAGCGCCCCCTGCCGGCATAAAATTAAATAATAAATTGAAATAGAATACGATTAAATATACCAATAAAATAAAATATAAAATAAAATAAACGTGGTTTGAAGTATTGCCATATTATTTCGAATGCTACAGCAGATTCTCTCGCAAGATTCTCTGTTTTAACAACATTTTTGGCATGTGAATAAAAAACATGGCATGTGAATAAAATGTAGACGTTAAACGCTTTTTAAAAACAGAAACACAATCAGTCAAGTTTGTTGGTTTGCTGTGCAGGCAGCGGCAGACGTGAAGTCAGCTGACTGACACGCTGTTGATGGTCACGTGACAGGAGGCCGAGCGAATAAACACAATCTCAGAGGAGAGCAGTTTCAAATCATAGCATGTCCGCTTATCTGTACGCTTCCGTGCTGTCATAGCATCTCCGGCTTCAGATATGAACTTCATGATGTTAATATAGTAGATCGTTTATAGTACATCGTTTAACTGTGCTGACGGTAAGTACAAATCTGTCACTTCATGTCGCACGACATTAGCATACAGCACAGTTGTTGTGACAGCATTGACTGTTGAAGGCTAAAGGATATATCACTGGTTATTTATGAAATTCTTACTATTTATGTGTTTACTCTTGTCGTGAACGAGACAGTAAATGAAAATACGTGTCAAGACTGGGTTGAATACAGTGTAACAGTTACAGTAAATGTGTGGCTCTTCTGCACTATATTTACCTAACGTTAGTTATGCTTGCGGTATGTTTACAGTAAGCTTTCATTAGTTAACAATATTAGTTTACATGAACTAACAATGAACAATACTTCTACACCCTTTATTAATATTAGTCAATGTTAATTGCAATATCTGCTAACATATTTTTAAAATAAAAAATTGTTAAATTAGTTAATACACTAATTGAATGAACTAACGAACAAATAATGAACAATTATATTTTACTAACATTTACAAATATTAATAAATGTTTTAAGGAATGTTATTCTCTGTTAGGTCATGCTAGCTAGTATATGTTTTAATGTCAAATGGGATCTTTTTGCACAATGTTACAATACTTAGAAATACAACTTTGCAGGTCCAGCATGTCAGTGTCTTTCTGAAATCTTAAGCTGTTTAAACAGTTACAACTAAGACAATGAGTTTCAAAAGATGTTCTGTGTTTCTTGATGTTTGTATTGCTTTAAAGATCCCCTAACTGTGGGAATGTAGTTTTACTTTGTTGATTAAGACTTCTATGCAACCTGTCTATTAAATGTACATCAATAATAAGTCAACTGCATGGTCATGAAAGACTTTTATTTTCCCGTTGATCTGTTTTTGTATTGATTTGACTTTTACATACCTAGACATTAAGTAGTCAATAGGAAATGTGTTCAAGGCAAAGCAGTGGCCACTCCAAAGTCAAACATTGATTTGACGGCACTGAATATAGCTGCTTTGCATTATCATATGATAGCATGGCTGTTCATGCGCACCTATCTGTAGCAAAAGAATCAGGCTTTATTTTTTAACTTGAAACATTCACAGCTTCAGGTTATAATTATATTGTGTGATGGTTGAGTTACATATTTGTAAAAGCCAAGTCTGTTTGTTGTTGTGTTTTAATGTCAGTTAGCTTTTACTGTTCAGTGGCTGAATGAGTTTGCTGAATTGTCTCATAAGGTTCCGCATATGTGTGGTTTGGAATGGTTTCAAATAGTTGTGACATCTTTTTTGACTCATACAGCTGGTGTATTTCGCCCCCTCTTAAGACCACCCTGTCTTCACCATTACAAAACAGTGTATATAGAGTTTGCAGCTTTCATAAAAAGCATATTTGACAAAGTATTAATAAACGTTATGCATAATAATAATACAGATGGTGGCTGTGAGGGATACAGTAGTTCATTTGAGCTGCTCTGTGAAATTCCCACAGCCATATTAAAGTGTCAGATATAACTAATGTTGATTGCATACTATCATTTGGCAAATTTGAAATCCTCGTATTGTTTTTAGCCCCAAGAGACGATAGAGAATATAATGACGCAGAAAGGGCATACTGTGCGTCATTGGTGTGTTCTGGGAGGGCTATTAACTCTGTTCATTTGTCTGTGATCACAGAGCCTGTAGATGCAGCGGTCTCCGCAGAGAAGCTTTTGATCAGTGAAGCTATCAGCGGCAAATTACACCCCACCAAAGCAAGCATGGCCTCTGATATCAACTATCAGGATGGTAAACCAATTTCCTTTGCATTATGTGACACTGATTGTGATCTTTATTTATTTATTTTATTTGACTTTTTTTGTGACTAAGCTTTAAAAAAAAAAAAAACGGAACTTTTATTCAGCAAAGGAAACATTAAATTGATCAAAAGTGATAGTAAAGATATTTATAATGTTGCAAAACTTTTCTGTTTCAAATAAATGCTGTTCTTTTGAACTTTCAATTCATCAAAGTGTCCAGAATTTATTAAACTGTGCAACTATTTTCAGAACTGATAATAATAAATATTTCTTGAGCTGCAAATAGTATATTAGAATGATTTCTGCAGCTGGGTTCTTGTTTTAGTATCATTGGCATACTATTTTTTTTATTTATTATTATTTGAATTTCCTTCCTTCCTTCCTTCCTTACATACTTACTTACTTACCTCTATAATAACCCTGCACTGAAGACTTTACCATCATAGGAATAAATTACATTTTAAAATATATTCCAATAGAAATCAGCTATTTGAAATTGTAATAATATTTCACTGTTTTTAGTGTATTTGTGATCAAATAAATGCACCTCTGATGACCGTAAGAGACTTCTTTTGTTAACATTAAGAAATCTTACACACCCCAAACGTTTGAAGGGTAGCATATGTGTTTTTTTGTTCAGTGTTTAAGATCATGAGCAGGCTACAGCATACATGACTCTAGTTACCTGTGGTTGGCCTGACCGTGCGTCACTCAGAGAACAACAGGCCAATCAGAAGAGAGGCTCATGAATATTAATTAGACAGGCCAAAATCGACCTGTTCTCAGCAGAGCTCCTATACCGCAAATATCTATTCTTAAGGACATCAAAACCTAAAATAAAACTCCAGAAAGGTGTAAAATATGTGACCTTTAAAGCTATATTTGTGTGTTGGTTCAAGGCCCAGACCTTTCTAGGAGAGATGAGAGCCCCGCTGAAGATGAGCCCATCCATTCACCCGCTTCCCTACGACAGACAGAATATGAACGAATCGGAGGAAGAACAGGATCCTCGTAAGCACTGTCATCTTCACCTATTAAAACTTTCATGCTCTTAGACTTGTTTTAATTTTGCGTTCATTTGTTTTTTGTTTAGGTTTTCTCAGACTATAATTCATTTACTTAAAGGAAATATTGGTACGGGACTCCTCGGCTTGCCTCTGGCTGTCAAGAATGCAGGACTCGTGGTAGGACAGAAAATTTAATTTGGAGATGAATGCTCATTATATTATATTTTGAACTGTTCTGACCTTGTGTTCTGGTTGCCTTTTATAAAATCGTATATCATCGTAGTAAAATGTGTATAGTTGCACGCACGCTTCTCTCTGAGCTTTCTCTTGTTGTTGTGTCATTGTGGCAGCTGTATGTACTTATCTGAACATGATCTACTTATGTCAACATTATGTCAGCCTTTCATTTTCATTTCTCTCACATTTCTCGCATGTCTTATGATTTTTAAAAACTTCCACACCTAGCGCACCTTTTGGTTTTTGAAGAGACAATGCAAGTCAAATTGTTGAGCAAATAAAAATGTTGGCTTGTTGCAGAGTTTAAAGAAACAAAAAAAGGACAGTTAATTAATAACATTTATTGTACATCTTAAATAATGTAATATTTCATTTTCTGTTCCCAAGATTTTTTCCCTGCCATTCAAATGCTTAGGGTTATGTTTATATAAACAAGTCCTTCATGCTCACCAAGGCTGCATTTTTATTTGATCAAAAATACAATAAAAACAGTAAAATTGTGTAATATTATTACTATTTAAAATGACTTTTTTTTTTTTTTAATATATCTTAAAATGTAATTTATTCCTGTGACCAAAGCTGAGTTTTCAGCATCATTACTCCAGTCTTCAGTATCACATGATCCTTCAGAAATCATTCTAATATGCTGATTTGCTGCTCAAGAATAATATGCTGCTTCATATTTTTGTGGAAACCATGCTACTTTTTTTCTGGGGTTCTTTTGATGGATAGAAAGTTCAAAAGAACAGCATTGATTTGAAATAGAAATATTTTGTGACATTATAAATGTTTTTATTGTAACTTCAGATCAAATCAGTGTGTCCTTCTTGCTGGATAATGTATATGTTTCTTAAAAAATATCTTACTGACCCCAAACTTTTGAACAAAAGTTCATTTCGATTTTTTTTCTTTCCATATTATGCACGAAATCAAATCAGGGCTTTGATCGAATGGAAGAGTAATAGTGTACCCTTTCTCAACAGTCTGCTTTATTTGAGGCCTCATTCATGTCCATAGCACAAACTAAGTTTGAAACTAAAGGTTATGGTTATGTTTAAAGACTTAATCACTAGCATCTGAAGTTTTTTGAGGTCTTCTTTGCAAGCGACCTCTTTCTTTGACTTCTCTCTGCGTGTATGACGCAGCTGCACCATTAAAGAGTGCTTGTGTCATTGCACTGCTGAGCCGTGTTTTCAGCCTCTGAAGACCTCTAAAACCTCTCAGCATCAGCTGAGGACACGGGAACAACAAGACACAATCTGACAAGTGTTTCCACCGGATCAAAGATGCCAGACGTGTGGACACGTCCCTGAAGGATGCTTTCTGCTTCACTGCCAGACTTGAATATTATGCTTTGACCTTTTTGTCAGTTGCTTTGTGCAGTTACAGATGTAGTTGCACCCCATTGTTACAATTCCTTGTCTTATAAAACCCTTCCTCACAAATTGGAAATGCATTAACCTGTCAGTAACGACATTGATAATGTTGTAAAAATGTTACATTTCAAATAAATGCTATTCTTTTAAACTTCCTGTTTATCAAGTGAACCTAAAAATCAATTTCCACAACAATATTAAGCAGCACAGCTGTTTTCAACATTGATAATAATCAGAAGTGTTTCTTGAGCAGCAAATTAACATATTAGAATGATTTCTGAAGGATCATGTGACACTGAAGACTGTGGAGTAATGATGCTGAAAATTCAGCTTTGTTCACAGGAATAAATTACATTTTAAATGAGATCAGTAGAAGAGCCGTGACCAGCTGTGTTAACATGTTGAGTGCCATGTTAAGGCACTAAACCTCAGACTGTTCCTGGTGGGCTGTATTTGAAATTCACCTTTGCCCCAATGTTCTAGTTGATTAAACATGATTTATCAATAGCTTGTTACTCTCCGTCTCTTCTCATTCTGCAGGTGGGGCCTTTAAGTCTTCTGGCTTTGGGAATCGTGGCTGTGCATTGCATGAACCTCCTTGTGAAATGTGCACATCATCTAAGTGCAAAGTAAGAATAAACATTATTTTTAGAAATACTGCCCCTCATGTTCTTGACAAGTGTATTGATACCTGACATCTGCTTTGTAGGTTTGAGTGTAGTTTTCTTTTGTCATTTCCATTTATAGATATAGTGAGATATGTTCTATCTATCTATCCATCTATCCATCCACCCAATGGTCTTATAATTACATTTATGTGTTTTTTCAGGACCATTTTTAGTAGGAAGTAATAAGTAGGGAAAATACTTGCGTGTCTGTCATGCAGTTGGCTGTTAAATCGCACACATTTCTTGAATACAGACAAAATGAAATGTTGTCTGTATTAAGGATGGGCAAGCCCTTTCTTTCCTACGGAGATGCAGTGGAGTATGGCATGGAGAATGTGTCGTGGCTGAGCAGACACTCTTTGTGGGGAAGGTACAGTAACTGAACGTCTGTGTTTCACTGCTTACAGGGCAGTTTTTAAATTCAGCACTATGTTAAAGTTGACTTGTGTTTGTGCTGTTCTCACCATAATCTTTAACCATTTGTCACATGACTCTCTCAGCACCTGATCTCACTTCACTGTTTCACATCTTGCACATGATAGCACACATACTGTGCATAGATGTTATTATAATCTGTGGTATGAAACGTTCCCTGTGAAACGTTAATATTATATATTTCATGAAATTTAACAATTTTTAAGATGTTTATCAGATGTTTGTATGCAATAATTAAGTGCTTTCTAGGTGGGGTTTCTTGTCTAGTAGATGTACACTACCAATCAAAAGTTTGGGGGCAGTGAGATTTTTGAAAGAAGTGTTTTATGGTCACCAAGGCTGCATTTATTTGATTAAAAATACAATAGAAATTGGAGTATTGTAAAAAAAAAATAATTTAATTCAAAATAACCGTTTTTATTTATTTATTTGAATGCATTTTAAAATGTAATTTATTCCCATTTCAAAGCTAAATTATTAGTCTCTATAGTCACATGATCCTTCAGAAATCATTCTTGTATGCTGATTTGCTGCTCAAGAAACATTATTATTATTAATGTTGAAAACCGCTGTGCTGCTGCATATTTTTGTTGAAACTGTTATTTTTAAAGAGTAGAAAGTTCAAAAGAACAGCATTTATTTGTAATAGAAATCTTTGAAATAAAAATGTCTTTACTGTCACTTTTGATCAATTTGATTAATCCTTGATGAATAAAACTTGCTGACCCTAAATCTTTGAACAGTAGTGTGTGTGTGCTTAGTGGGCAGTTTGTGTAAATGGCTTGGATTTGTGACATTTAGATTACAAAAAAATATTTTGACTGGTACCTGAACATATAGATTTGTTTCGGTGTTTGTTTTTTGGCTTTCAGGCGTGTGGTGAATCTGTTCCTCAACATAACCCAGCTGGGCTTCTGCTGCGTTTACTTTGTGTTCCTCAGCGACAATGTCAAACAGGTGAGAGAGCTTTAAATACAGAAGAAGAGACCTTTTTTCAGATTTGAATAAAGGTTTTGTCCACATTAAAATAATATTCAGAATCGCACAGTATGCACACATAATGTCCTTTATTGTCATATTATTAAAAAAATAAGAAACCAGAGAAAGCAGTAGTTTTCATCAAGGCCAACTGGTAGAACATGTGAACTTATAAACTTTAAAAGCATAATATATTATTCTTTTTGGATAAAAGCTTTTGCCAAAATTCTGAAATGTAAATTCAACAGAAATACCGTGAGCAAATTTCTTTCCTCACCACAAGAGGGCAGCATTGCTTTTCAGTTCACTTGATGAAACAATCTGCCAAATTTGCATCAACCAAAAAAAGATGTTCTTCCTTTCTATAATTAGAACTTAGAACAAATGTAAAATTCTCTTTCATATTGTTAAAGGATCATTGTTACCGCCATAAAAGAATCTTTCCATTGACTTGCATATTGTAGGTGGTTGAGACTGCAAACGCGACGACCGTGAACTGTCACAACAATGAAACCGCAGTGATTGTCCCCAGCTACGACTCTCGCCTCTACATGCTCTTCTTCCTGCCCTTTATCATTGTGTTGGTGTTTATCCGCAACCTCAAGTACTTGGTCCCTCTGTCGTTTGTAGCAAACATTTCCATGTGTGTCAGCCTGGTCCTCATATACTACTACTGTCTGACGGTAAGACACATTAAACACACAACACACACTTAATATGGTGAAAATGTATCAGTGTATGGCCTGAATTGCATTGCATGATTTTTCATAGTGATTAGTACCATATATGATACATACTTAGTCCACAGTACAACATCCTGGGTGGACCAAAAAGTACAGTATTTGAACACTTAAGCCACATAATGTATGAATACATTACAAAATATTACAATAACAAAAATATTAAACCAAGTGTTGTTTATTTTAAACTAGGGTTGGGCCGATAGACGATGCCATCGTCCATCGCCTATGGCTGATAGACATCACGATGTTGAGCCGGCATCGTGACCCCCACCACCCCCCCATACCCTCCGCATCCCAATACCGTGTTCGGAAAGAAAATGACGTGTAGGCGGAACTCCTAAAGGGAATAAATACGAGATGGGAGGAAAATATATATTTCAATATTTTTCCTCGCAGTTATATAATTGGGTAATTATACTACATATTTCAGCATCAGGGAGCCGCTATTATACCTGGCATTGAAACTGGCATTGTGCTTTTGAATGCACGATCGTTTTTAGTTTCACTTTCACTTTCGCGATCGCATGTACTCTGTTTATACTATGGAGCGGCAGTACTTGCCACACATTTTATATGTTTGTCAGTGGTACTGAGGATCTGCAAATCATTCGCCATCATCCTCAGTCATCTCTCCTTACTCTGTTTATGTGGTAAGTGAAATTTTATGTACTGTAATGTAACAGGCAACCGTTACACCGTGTCTACACCGGACGCGACCGGAGTTGTCGTGTCACGCTGCGCCGCATCAGCTAAAGTCTGTCTACACTGGACGCGACAAAGCGACCATTGAAAATCATTTGAAATTTGTGTCAGCACATCAAAAATAGAACGCAGCAGCAGTTTACTGTCGGGGATTTGTCGTGTCGCGCCGCATCCAGTGTAGATAACATCACTGATTATAATAAGTTCTATAGACTGATCTATATATAATAAATCTTCATCACGATGTTTCACTGTAGACATCGTCCGATGCCAATTTTGTAGACATCGCCCAACCCTACACACACACACACATATATATATATATATATATAGCCCAGATACACTTATCAAGCAGAATGTTTGAAAAAGTTTGTTAGGTTTGAAACAATAGATACTTTGCTCCAAGCAATCCTCAGGACCAAGGCCTCTCCCCGGGCTGCTGATTGAGTCTCAGATGTTATGGATGAAGAGTTGAGTGTCAATGACAGGTTTCAGGGTTGTTTTTTAGAGCGCATTTCTTATTGAACAGCTTAAAATGCCTTGAATCAGCCCCTGCGTCTGTAATCAGCATTGCAGCTACTGAGAAACAAGCAAGAAGGTAACACATTTTTTCAGGAAGGAAAGAAAATTTGTCATGCTGGAAACAGCTGGCTAGAGATTGCAAATTGATTTGTTGTTTTTTTGTAAAGAGTCAAGGGTTTTGCTTGCTCAAAATGCTTGCTGAGCTGCCAAAGGACATAAAACGTATCCTCTAAATGCATCTTGAACGTCATACAATCACTGTAAATTTATACTGCGACTTAAAGACATGATTTCATTTGCATAACATTTGTGCTCCAAATTTTTTTTAAAATCTGATTTATAAAGTGTGTCCCAAAAATCTGAGACTTTGTAAATATGGGATTTCTATTATATAATTATTTTATCAGGGAATATAACCATTTTTTTTTTTCGGTGTATAATTAATAAGAAATATTTAAGATAATGCCTGTCTAACTATACTGTTAAAAAGTTTGGGGTCAGTAAAACAAATTTGTTTTTTTTTGAAAGAAAGAAATTAGGCCTTTTATATATCAAGGATGCATTAAATTTGTTAAAAAGGGACAGTAAAGATTTTTATAATTTTACAAATATTTCAATTTTAAATAAATGCTGTTCTATTCAACTCTCCATCCATTCATCGGTAAATCCTGAAAAAAAGTATCATGGTTTGCAAAAAAATATGAAGCAGCACAATTGCTTTTAACATTGATAATCAGAAATGCTTCTTGAGCAGCAAATCGACATATTAGAATGATTTCTGAAGGATCATGTGACACTGAAGACTGGAGTAATGATGCTGAAAATTCAGCTTTGCATCACAGAAATAAATTACATTTTAAAACATTCAAATAGAAAACAGCTCTTTTAAACAATAGTAATATTTCACAATTTTACCGTTTTACTGTATTTTGATAAATGCAACAGGAAAAAGAGAAAATGTAAAATATTCATTGTCTCAGACTTTTTGTTTTTCTGTTTTGAATTGTTCACCGTGTCACAGACTGTCGGACATTCTTTTTTTATTCTTGCTTTGCCTTGTCAGAATATCCCATACCCTATCAACCTCCCGCTGGCGGGAAGAGGAGTTGACTATCCTCTCTTCTTTGGAACAGCAATTTTTGCCTTTGAGGGAATTGGAGTTGTAAGTTTTTCTTTTGCTCTGATATTATGTTTGTCACCACAGAAATATTATTCAAGTGAAAAAAGTTTAATTCAAAAAGGTGTCATACTCGATCTTCATCAGGTGTTACCACTTGAGAATAAGATGCAGAATCCCAGAAACTTCACCACGGTCCTGTATCTCGGCATGGGCATCGTCACCACCCTCTATATCACCCTGGGCACCATCGGCTACATTGGCTTCGGAGAGCATATTCGGGGCAGCATCACATTGAACTTACCGTTGTGCTGGTGAGTGCCAGGGGACCTTTAAAGGTGGCCTATTATGCCCCTTTTTACAAGATGTAAAATAAGCCTCTGATGTCCCCAGAGTGTGTCTGTGGCGTTTTAGCTCAAAATACCCCAAAGATTATTTTTTAAAGCTTGTTAAAGTTGCCACTTTTAAGGTATGAGCCAAAACTTGCTGTTTTTGTGTTTGTCCCTTTAAATGCAAATGAGCTGGTGCTCCCAGCCCCCTTTTCAGAAGAGGGAGGAGCTTCAAGAGCTCATACTCTGGCAATACTGGCTACAACAAAAAATCTCACGCACTGAAAATGCTAGAAACTCTCAAGCGGTCGACTTCACATTGCTTTCATATAGTGGTCGACCGATATATCGCCAAGGCCGATATATCAGACGATATTTGGAATTTTTCAAATATCGGCATTGGCCGATAAGTTTTTCTGTTTGGCCGATGTGTTCGAGGCGGGGCTTTTATTTTGACGGCGCTGAGAACGGCAGCATCTGAGCGCACACCGCTCGCATTCTCCCTCTTGTTCGCTGTCGTCGTTCAGTTCTGTCTAATATGGATAGAAGTCTATTTAATAATCAGATAGAACTGTTAAACAAAGGAATTAAAATGTATTCAAAAAAGTATTATAACGATTGCTTTTTATATTATTAGTGATATTAAGGCAAACATTATAATACTTTCTCGTTTGCCGTCAGCATTCAGCAAATACGTATTTATATCATTTAAACAAATCTTTGAATGACTAATGAACATTTCATTTCACAAACCTTGCAGACTTAGTCAAATCTAGTTGAGATCTTGTGAAGTGTGCATTTGTATCCTGCACGATTGCGTGTTCTCTGCGTGACGGTGGGTCCGTGCAAATTGAATGCTGACAGGAGGAGAGTTCTGCTTGACTGGATACGCACGATCGACAAACTTTAAACTAGTGATTAGTGGTCGACCGATATTGTTTTTTTGACAGCCGATGCCGAGGCCAATATCTTGGAAAGCAGGGGGCCCGATAGCCGATATAATTAGTTTTTAATTTTAATTAATATTTAAGAAATTTGAAATAATTTGACAATGGATTAAAAAATAAATGTGTAAAATAAACATACTTATACTTTAGATGACAAAGTATTTTTCACAAATAAATAAATATTTAATAAAAATATAATTAAAAAGGAAGTAAACACTGTAACCAACAGGGCACTCAGTAATCCGGGAAGTTTGTGTTTCAAATAAAGCCAGGGTAACACTCATTTTACATACAGCACACAGAGAAAATGACATGAATATGACAGTGGGCAAATGCATAAAGCGCAGCATAATTTGAAATCACGAGTTTAAAGTTTAAAGCATTCAATTCGAACGGACCGACCTTCACACAGAACACGCTGATTATTAGACAGACTTCTATCTGTATTAGACAGAACTGTTAATAACGACAGTAAACAAGAGGGAGAATGTGAGCACTGTGGGCTCAGGCGCTGCCGCTCTCAGCGCTGTCAAAATAAAAGAATTGTTCAAACACCTTATAAAAGTGATTTTTGAATAATAGGTCCCCTTTAATGTTTTATTTATTTATATTTTGTTTATTATGATGATTATGAAAAAGCATCCTGAAACTGAAATTATACAAAACATTACAAAAACATAATACACAAAATCTATTCTGAATTTTAGGATTGACATGAGTCTAATATCAGTGCACTACAAACCTGAGAAACGCTTGTCGGAGTCCCATTACCCATATTCCCCAAGGGAGATTAAAAATGGATTAACAAAGAGAATCTCAAAAATTATTTGAGGACATGTTGGCAATGCATTTTTCCTCAGTTTATCATTTCCCAGATCTTTTAAAAGTCAAAACAACCCCAAAAAAGGGGAAAGAAATTATTACTGTTTTACTGAAGACTGGAGTAATGATGTTAAAAATTCAGCTTTGCATCACAGGAATTACATAAATTACATTTTGAAATAAATAAACATGACAAATATTTTCAATTGTAATAATATTTCACAATATTACTGTTTTACTGTATGATAAATCATTAACAAAAAAATTTTTTTTTAACAGTGTAAGTGATAAAAGTGCACAATTATATATATATATATATATGTATATGTTTTTTTTTGGTTTTTTTTGGTACAAAAATATGATTATTAAAAAAAATTATATATAATTCTTTTTTTTATATATATATATATATTTTGATATATTTTTCTTTGTACCAAAACTGTTCACACCAAGTCTAGCCTTTCATTTAAAAAATAAAACAATTCAGTTCAATTCAAGTTTATTTGTATAGCGCTTTTCACGATACCAATCATTGCAAAGCAGCTTTACAGAAAATATTAAGTTTCTACATTACATTTAGGAGTAGGCTATTAGTGGTTACTATGACAGAAATGTACAGTAAAAATCATGCAGTTAATTACAAATTACACGTAATCAAACAGACGGTGAACACAATTAACTGCAATCATTATATGTTGCGATTAAACTTTGCGATTGCGATTTAAACGTTGCAATTAAGCAAAGTTTGGTAGTTTTATATGTTGTTCCAGGGTTAGCATCATCTGAGGTCTTCTGGGGGGTTGGCATCATCTCTTCTCAGGTGTTCAGTTATCTCAGATTTTCGTAAGGGTTGGATCCAGACTGAAGTTTGTGTAATTCCTACTTGCCTCGGGATGCAAGTCCAGTGGCAGAAACAGAGAAGCAGATAGAGACAAAATTGGCATAGCTGCTGTTCCAACCAAACATGATGTGTTCAACCCAAGCAAAAGAATGAAAATGTGCATTTGATCAGATATAACTGCAGTGCAGTACAAGATTATGAGATGCATTATGTGAATGCTTGGCTAAAGAGATGTGTCTTTAATCTAGATTGCATTAAGGTCATGAATGCATGAACTAGCTTTTCTGCATCAGAAACAGGTAACATGTTCCGTAGCTTGACAATGTTTCTAAGATGAAAAAATGCTGTTTTTGTAACATGGGAAATATGATTTTCAAAAGACAATTTGCTGTCTAATATAACACCCAGATTTTTGACCGTAGGGGAAGTAACAGTACATCCATCTAGATGTTAAAACAAACAAAACAAAACAAACAAAAAAAAATTTTTTTGTTTGTTTGTTTCTACCAAAAACTCAGACTTGCTGCAATTTGGTGTACTAGAGCTGGAAAATTGAAGGCAGCTGATTTCAGATGGTTTGAGGCTTATTCACTTCAGGCGAATACAAAGCAAGCATTTTGAACAGGTCACCGAGCCCAGGTGACAAAAAAGCTGACTGAAACCACTTAGAAACTGGGAACAGACCCAAATACACCCATTGACATCTCTGTTCCCTGCTGACAAACTCGGGTGCAGAGGAGAAGCTGTGGACTCCATGCAAAATCGCAGAAGTGTCAGTCTTGTGTTTCTATTAGCGAGTTTAGTGATTGATGTGTCACTCCAGAGACAATGCTCTTTCATGATTATTGAAGATATCAGCGATACCTGTACGATGCTTTCATTTGTCATTACACTTCTCATATTTTACATTTACTCCTGATTAGAAAGATTAGCTGATATTCTATGATCAGTTCGACATCAGTGGCTGCAGAAATAAAATTAAAAAACGTGTCTAATGTCTGTCTGTTCTGTAGGTTATATCAGACCGTGAAGCTGCTGTACTCTTTTGGGATCTACATCACTTATGCGCTGCAGTTCTACGTGTCAGCAGAGATCCTGATCCCGCCGGCGGTGGTGCGCTGTGGTCCCAGATGGGCGTTGATGGTGGACCTCGGCATCCGCGTGGCTCTTGTAGGCCTCACATGTAAGTCGCTGCAACACAACACCTTAAATTGTTAGTTCACCCAAAAATGAAAAATTAGCCCATGTTTTACTCGCCCTCAAAGCATCCTAAGTGTATGTGACTTTCTTCTTTCAGACGAATCCAATGGGAGTTATATTAAAAATGATCCTTGCTCTTCCAAGCGTTAGAATGGGAGTAGGCGGGTGTTTTTGTTCAACAGTCCAAAAGACGTCAAATAAAGCACATCCATCCATAATAAAAAGTGCCTCACACGGCTCCGGGGGGGTGAATAAAGGCCTCCTGTAACGAATCAATGCATTTTTGTAAGAAATTTTATATATGTGCAGCGCATGCATCAGTGGCTACATTTACATGCACAATTTTTGGTTCAATCGGACTGAATTCATTCCAATTGATGAATCTGAATGTACTGTTTACATGAACGCTAAAGAAAGTGATCGGGTTGATGTGCGTGTTTATGTCACAAGCTTCAAATCGGAATTGATTTTTTTTTACATGCACACACTGCACAAATATAAAGTTTCTCACTGTTTGCACATAATAACCACTCTCCTACACGGTTTATTTATTTGTTTTTAACAGCAGAATTAATATTTATTAATTTATGATAACCACTCTCCTACATGGTTTATTTGTTTTTAACAGCAGAATTAATATTTATTAATTTATGGATAAATATACATATAAACCGCTGTGCCGTGCTGCTCATATTTAGGCTATCACACAGTAAAAATGCCCCTCCCCGCGCCCAAAACGGGTTGCCTGTGGATGAGAATCCAAAACAAGGACTGGTGGGAGGTTGTCCTGCTCCACTTCACAGTTGCCGAGTGAAAGGAGAGTTTTATAATGACAGGACACTTATACAACACTTTATTCAAAAAGAAGAACCGCTCGTTCTGCGCGTCATACGTCATTATGCTATT